ACAAAGTTGCTATCCGCCTTCTGTCTGTCCCTATGTATGCTTAAATCTTTAAAACTACGCAACGGATTTTGGTGCTATAATGATTTTTTTGATAGATAGAGTGATTTTTAAGGAAGGTTTATATGTATAATAAATGCATATTGCACCCGTGCCAAGCCGGGGCGGGTCGCTAGTATCATAATGTATCATTGGAACAACAGAAAAGTTAGTTTTCAAATATAGCTATAGTCGTATTTTTAATTAGACGAAGTCGACTGACGTTTGCTGTGTTGTCAGTTTTTGATGAAATAAAAATAGTGTTGCGAAAAAGTGAATGATTGAAAAAGCAACTAAATGAATGAAATTGTCTCGATCGTCTAGTGAATTAATTGAAGTAGTTGAAACTACAGATGAGTAAAATATAAAAAAATTAGGTAGTTATGGATAATAAAAACAACGCTAATAACATCATTTGATTTTAATCATCATCAGATAAAAAATCATCGCTATCACTTTCGGTGACATTAATAATAAAGTTGTCTGACACATTGTCAATCATGTGGTCAAGGCCATACATTTTGTCTTCTTCTTTAATAACGTGAGACACGCAACTACTCCATTTTTCTGCTGTGATGAGTTGAAGTCCTTCTTCAAACAGTTTTTTAACTTCTGGCATTTTAAAAGTTTTGTTATTTCTTGCCACATGTCCTTTGGCCTGCGCCCATACCAACTCAATAGGGTTAAGCTCACAGTGGTATGGGGGCAGACGTAAAACCGTAATTCCATGGTGTGCTGCCATCTCGTCCACAACAAACTTTTCAGAATGTTGGTGTTTGTGCTGTCGTACAATGTCTATAAGAGTAGCTTTGATCATTGTTGCTTCGAATGCGATATTTTTGCTTGTTAGCCACTCTTGTATTCTGGATTTAGTCCAAGACATTGTAGGCAGCGATTCCAGTTTCCTGGAGTGGTACGGGGCATTATCCATCACTACCACGGAATTTGGTTTGAGTTTTGGCAAGACCTCTCTGAACCACTTTTCGAAGGAATCGGCATTCATCTCTTGATGATAATCTTCTTTGTTTTTTGTGGCTTCAAATATTAATAGGCTGTCTTCTACGAACCCTTCTTCCCCGCCTATATGTCCGATAATTAAGCGTTTGCCCTTTCCTGAAGGTTGTTTTAAGCCAGTGGTCAAGCCATCGAGGAAGGCCTGGCGGGAGGTTAGCACTGTTTGGTCAATCCATACCTTCTTCGGGGCATGACCTTAAAAATAGAGAAAAATATCAATTAATTATTGAAAGTAGAGGGACCTTCTAAACACATGCCTGTAAATGTATGTACACGTTTATCTAAGTGGTTTGTCATGTTTGTTTGTAATTATTCCTAATTTATATTATTGTCACACAATCAGAATTTACAGTCTTATAAGAAACGCATGTAATCTGTGTTAAATACAGCGTCGGTAACGAATTGTAAGAACTTTTATCTGTGGCCACAAAACCTACAGAAAGTAAAATTTAAAATGAAGAAAACAAAATTGTAATTACCTTCGTTGATCCAGGTCTCATCTTGGTAATAAATATACCTTCCTTCTCTTCTATACTGTTTTATTTCTCGAAGGTATCGCTGGCGCCATAGAATAATATCCTGTCTGTCAATAAGAATGCTTTTTCTTGTCTTTGAAACGTATTTGAAATTCAAATGTTTCATAACATTTCTTAGTGTACTCCATGAAAAAGTCGGTAAATCTGGGTCTTCATTGACAACTTTAAGGATCTGTAAAGTAATAAAAATGTTTTTGAGTAAGGAAATCTATGCAATCTAATACTTTGGTTTTACAAAGAACATTATGGTGGACACAGAATATAATGCAGTAGACGGAATAAAGTTTATGTTACCTTTGCAATGGTGGGTGGCTCATTTGCATAAAAAAACTGATGAACTTTTCGCCTTATGGCAGTAAAAGTAAAATCATCTAATTTGTCTTTGAAATTGTATTTCGGTCCACGTTTCTCGGGTGATTTAAATTGTTCATTTTCTTTGTATTCTTTTAATACACTGTAAACCGAGGTCACACCAATTCCCAAAATGTCAGCTGTTTTCGAAACACATTCCTGTTTTTCGGGGGTTTCAAAAGGTAATAGAGAAGCAGCTTTCTCCTCAAATACGTGTTTATACACGTTCTGTACCATGAGCTTTTCGGTAACGCTTAACGAAACCCGTGGTCTCTTCCTTCTCGGAGACAAGCTTTGACTTGACGTGCTTGGTTGAGGATCCATATTGTTTAAAGGAAACAATGAACCACAATAACCGCAAACACAACGAAACAAAAAACTTAACAAAACAACGTGAGCGCAGAAATAACAAAGTACGTGCTTTCAGACCAGAGGTTAGAAGCCGAATAACAATCAAAATGGCGACCGACGCGCGCGACGTCGATCGGTGTTGTCAGTACTCGCCGCGCCGCGCTTTACAATAAACTATCAAATATTGATACAATTTTATTAGAAATAGAAATAATATTCATTTATGTTTTGGAATGATTAAAATTATGAACTATTCACATTCATTGTTCATTCATTTGATTGAACGAGAACTGTAGCCATCACTATTACTTTAAATATGGCCACATTATTTTACAATTTGACATTAGCCATTGTCAGTTGACTTCGTCTAATTAAAAATACGACTATAGTTACGATTCATCCTTCTGTACTTATAACTTATAGTGTGACGTCACGTTGTGGGAGACTCATTAAGTATTTAATTTAATAGAGTTGACTGCACCCTGGATTACATACGTCGCTGCACCATGCACACCACCGTGCGTCGTGGTATATACAGAAACAAAATGGAGGACGCTCGATATTTCTAATGAACACGTAATGCGCTTTCGTTTTTTTGCGTTGCGTAGATGACGCTCAAATCGATGTTAGGATGTCAGGGGATGTATTATTTGTGTTATTTGTTTACCTATTATAATTTTTTTATGTAACATGTAGTTCTAGACTTACAAACTATTCTCAGTAAACTATTTTTGAATAGTTTTAGCGGCCCATTGCTTGTATAAATAGTATCTTATACTAGAATGTAAAGGTGTAATATATGTTCAAGTGAGTTAGTTTTTCCGAATGCCAATAGATGGCACTACAAGTTACATGCGCCTGAGTCATCACTATTCATATTAAAATTTCTAGTTCAGAGTAAAGCAAAAACGTTGTCCCACACTAGGATTTTGTCCTGTATCGTGGATACGTTTACAAACATACAATATCACATACACATGACACCCAGACCCGGAACAACAATCTATGGATCACACAAAGAGTTGTTCGACACGGTGTACGGCAGCCTGTTGCCCAGCCACCGCGCCAACCGTGCAGTCAGTATTACTAAAAACTCTTTAGTGTTTTAGACCGATTTCAATAGCTATATAGGTACCTAACTGTTGAACTTAAGGTCATGGTTGTGACCATCGAGTTGGGTAAAAAGGCACCTGCTGTTCAAAAGAATTTATACATAACATCACGCCTTTTATCCCTGAAGGGGTAGGCAGAGGTGCACATTACGGCACTTAATACCACTGTACAATGTAACACCCACTTTTCACTATTTATGTTATGAGTCCCATGTAATAGGGGGTGAGCCTACTGCCATATACCGGGCACATTTCCAGACTACGTGCTACTACTGAGAATTTTCAAAAACCCAGTAGTACCTTACACGACCCGGGAATCGAACCCGAGACCCCTTGCCCGGCAGTCGCAGTTGCGACCACTCGGCCAGCGAGGCAGGCTAACAACGTCACATAATCTCTAGAACGGGTGCATGTTTCCAATGCTCTAGCAAGTTTAGAAGTCTGATATTGTACTCGATAACATAACTGGCAAAAAAGAACTGTAATTTCCAAATAAAATTGCAAAGAGTACGTAATAGCGACCTTCATAGACAAAGTCACAAAAAAAATAGCAACTAAAAATCTATGCCTAACAAGCAGCAACCATAGAAATCTTTCAAAATAAAAAAAAACGTCAAAAATGTCAATAATAATATGATAATACGCAAATTTTAATGTGGCTTTAAAATATAGTACACAACAGCAATATCTATATAAGAGTTATAATAAATAATAGACAAAATGGAAACACATGAATTTGACTTTAGCAAAATTTTAGACCAAACGCAGTATACTTATTTGTCAGAGAGTTTGACTACTAAAGATGAGTTCGAAAGGCCTTTAGGAAGGTCGATGGTGGGGGAGAAGCAGCGATGGATTCCTCCATTCAAGGATTCGCTAGTGGACCGTCTTCGACCCATGGTGATGATGGTTGGTGCTCTTGAAGTGGTGATTGGACTCACCTTGGCAATGCTCATCATATTGTACAGTCATGATTACAATGAGATGTACGCTACTGTCGACACTGGTCGTATGTATTTGGACTTCTAGATTCTAATTTCGTATGTACATACTAATCATTTTAATAAACACAACGGCCCATGACAATCCGCTATTGGAGTGTGAGGACTTACAAAGGTTTAAACTTCGAGTAGGTATTATAAAATATGTTATCTTTTGTGGAAGCCCTGTTTGTATGACTATAAATTTATTTATAAGCTAGTTCTATTACTGCTACTGCTTTCTCGGTGTACGGGTTCGGTATACAAGATTGCTAACTCTTGCTATAAGAATTTATATTGACTTAAAGTCCTATGTCCTCTAGATGGGGCAAAGGGTGTCCACAGAGGTTGTTCTTTCATTTTAAACTGTCAAACACCAAGCGGTCACCGGTGACCGCGACCTATTGTTCTTTAATTGTGTCTATAAAACCGGTACTCGACGAGCTAATCGGTCTTGAGCTTCTCGCTTCACCTTGTTTCTTGTCATTCCGATGCTCGCTGAATTTATAGAGTAATGTGAAACCTAATTGTTAATAAATAAGAATTATATTTAAATACCCATTCCAGTTATAAGTTTGCTGTCATTGGGTGGACTGATAGTTCTAATTGTCAGCGGCATAATGCTAATAACTTCAGTATTGTACAAGAAAAAGAAACTTATGAGGGTAAGTCTTGTAAAACTATTCTCAATCTTAAATCTGTAGACATAAGTACTATTAGCCATGATGCAAATGCTATGCGAAATGGTAACAAGATCGATTACAATCACATGAGATTCACACGATATTTTGGGGACATACAAAACCTAATTTGTCGAATATTGTAATTGTATTTCAATATGGTTAATAAAATACATAGAATACTTTGTTTCTTACTTTTAAATCGATAACTCAAGTGATGATCATAAAATAATATGACATACTAAATAAATGGTATTATTTTTCAGTATCACATCTTAATATCAACGCTACTATGCGTGTACATATTTGCACTATCAGTAATGAAGATTCATTTTGCTCTCCTTGTACTTGAAAGAGGTAACACTGCTTTTTTTTTCGTCTTCATTATCATCATCATCAACAGCCTATAAGTGGCTACCATTGACTATAGGCCTCTTCTCACACGGAGAAGATTTTAGCATTATTCACCACGCTTGGTCCCTCTTTTACACGGTTTAATTTATTACTTAGGTACATACTTAGCTGGTTCTATAGTTTTGAGATCGATTCTTGAACGGATTTTTTTTAAATTCCATATTTAAAATAAGGGTTTGGAATTGAGTAAAACGTTCGGATATAGGGCTTACCCAAAATATTTAACGTTAAATAAAGTTCACAGAAACATCATCAGCTATCCTTTCGAGGAAATATAAACGTGTCTATAAACGACAATTGTCAATGTAAACGGGTTTTTCTTTAACCTGAATACATTCTTAGAGAATCCAAATAAAATAGTTCTATCTTCCACGAACTTTAAACCAAGGTCTATTCATCAAGCCACTGCTAGATATTTCACGGAACTTGGGGGTTTCTAGAAAATTCTACGAACTTTTGCACCTCATTCTGGAAATAAACTTCCAAATGAATGAAACGGTATAAAAGTTTTTGATATTTATCAATACAATTACACTCTTATTCATAAAAATAAACCTTAGGTAAACAGTACCTATTTTCATTTTTTTCCTGGAAAATGACTAGGAAACGTCTAGTAGTAGTTAAAACACAGAGATTATAAGGATAATAATTACTTTTTTACACGGTAATCGCTATGGGGGACACCGATGACTGATGTTAGACGAGCATTTGCCTTCAACAGAGGGTGTAATACGAAATTGTGTTACTTTCATGTCGTTTAACTCTCTGATTGGTTGGTTCATTGGAGCAAGCCAATCAGAGCGTCGAACGCAGTACCTTTTTGATATCATTCAACGTATAATAAACTCGTACTGAGCCATCAGTTTTCTATCTATTGTCTATATCTATATAATAAGCCAGTGATATTTAATGTCTCAATGTTTTCTTTTCAGATATACGCAAATTAATTCTACCAGAAAGCAGACACTTTCTAGTGAGTAATGCGTGTGTTATTGGCATCACTACCATGTCTGGATCAGGTAAAGTATATGTTACAAGTAAATCATAAAGTTTAGATATAAGATTTGTGTTCAAGGATCCATTGGGTGGGTCGCTTCCAACCAGTTGATCTTAAACTCATTGATTACTGTTTGATTCTGCCTACCGAGACCCTAACTGGTCTTGTATCTGATATATTTTTATATCAGGGTAATATATTTGTGTGAAAATTATTAATCAGTAAGACCAGTCTTTATTAATTAAAATCTGATGAAAAATATGCATCGTGAAATAGATGATGTATGAAAACCAGACGTTCTTGCAAGTTAATTGATTATTATTTATTTTTATTTACTCTTTATTGTACACCATAAAAACCTACATAAAAAAACAAACATAAAAGAATGTGTACAATGGGCGGTCTTATCGCAGAATGCGATTTCTTCCAGACAACCTTTGGATGGAGCCAGTATTCAGGAGTTTGAAAAAGGGGGTCGTCTAGTGTACAATAATTAAAACAATACATACAATATAATACTATCTATACCTACATACCAAATAAATAATATATAAAATTAAAATAGATATAACTACTATACATAAGTGAGTGTGTGTGTAGATGTGTCTGTGTGTGCACGCGCGCTTGTGATGTTTGATTCTGCCTATCGAGACTCTTAGCTGGTCTTATATCTGATGTATTTGCACATCTGCGAAAATTATCTGTTTGCAAATGATAAATCAGTAAGACCTGATGAAAAATATGCATCGTGAAATAAATGATGTATGAAAATAGCTTCGAAATATTGCGTTGAAACTGTTTTGGCTGGAACGTGCATTAGCCATTTTAATTTCGCTAAAATGTTAGTGTAGCGAGGCTCGAACAGTCTGAATGCGATTCAGCAAAACGTGCCGCTTCTAGCAACGTTTGGCTCGCTGGCTAAATCTGAATTTGCATTGCAATGTTGTCGGATTTTATATTATACTAATACCGTGACTCGGTTTGGTACGGACGTGATTTCTGACTTTTTAAATTGAGATTTGGAATTGAAGTCTACAAGAATAGATGCTCACTTAACGATTCATACTACATACTACTAATTCTTTACTAGCTAAACTGAATCTTTATGGTACTACTAATGTCTGCCTCGTTAGCCGATTGGTTGCAAGTGCGACTACCGAGCAAGGGGTCTCAGGTTGATTTACAGGTCGCGCAAAGTACTGATCGTTTTTTTGAAAAAAATGTCATTACTAGCTTGGAGTCTGGAATCGTGCCCGATATATGGCAATAGGCTCACCCCCTATTACATAGGACTCATAACATTAATAGTGAAAAGTAGGTGTTACATTGTACAGTGGTTGTTAAATGTAACACCTTACAATGTACAATGGTACCGTGGCATTGCGTGCCGTAATGTGCATCTTTGTGTACCCCTTCAGGGATAAAAGGCATGATGTTATGTAAAACTAATATGGAAGCGTAAACCTTTCTTTTACATATCAACAGCGCACTTTTATGGTATGATTTTTGTGTCTTAGAGGATAATGGAGATTGAGAGTGATAGAGGGCAAAACCTCGGATGGAAAGCACAGTACAGTATCTAATAATATTAGTTAGTACAGATACTGTTTCACATGTTAAAAGGCATTCTATTTAGCATGCTTACAAATATTAACAAATCGAGCACCTATCGATTCGCAAACAAGCTTGAAATGAGCATGCTAATTTTGAGCAACATTCTGACACAAATACAAGTTTAAATAAAATCATTGCTTGATTCTTGCATCTACCATTTACGCTTTTCTGTATTACCCAAAAGTCAGACTGGGAGAAAATGACTGCGGCATTAAGTCCACCTATTGTACATACATCGAGTGCAACAGGCTACTAAGTAAAAGTAATTGAAGCATGTTTTCGTATTTGAAATTAGCATTTTTTTTATGGAATAGGAGGCAAACGAGCAGATGGATCACCTGATGGTAAGCGATCAGCGCCGCCCATGGACACCCGCAACACCAGACGAGTCATAGGTGCGTTGCCAGACTTTTAAAAAGGAATACGCTCTTTTCTTGAAGATTTAAATTGTGAAACAGTACCGTTATTGTATTTATCCTTTATTGTTTCAGTGATTCATTTCATCGCGAATGTGACTGTGTTCACATATTACAATTTGAAGCACTTACGGCCGATTTTATTTAACTGTGGACCTTGAAAGATAATTTGTAAATATTAAGTTTTTATTAACCCAATAAAGTTTTGAAGCCTTGGAATCTAAGGTGTACTTAATAATTTTGTTTGTTTTGTCATTATGATTTTTCTTATGGAACATGTGGCAAAGGAGCAGCCGGATCACTCGATGGTAAGCGATTAGCGCCGCCCATGGACATCTGCAATACCAGAGGAGTCACAGGTGCGTTGCCGGCCATAAAAAGGAATACGCTCATTTCTTGAAGATTGCAAGGTCGTATTGGTTCGGAAATACCGACGCCATTCCATAGTTTTGCTGGCAAAGCAGAAAGCTACAAAAGAAGCTCACAATTGTGGCCTGCCAACCATCTGTATGATGGGGATAGATAAGCTGTCGTGAGGGTCGATGGCGAAAAAACGAGAAAGGTATCAGACCAAACAATTCCTCAGAGCTCATGCTCATGATTTCGAATTAATTTATTAACTTAATGATGAATGAGGTTATCGTAAGCATGAGTAAAGATATATATTCCAAGATTAGATCAAAATTGGAGTGCATCAATGATAGTTATTTGTTTCGATTTCGATGTACAGGTAGGTACAACTAGCGGTGAGAGACTTTAATATTGGACTAGCTTCTCGGCCTCGCCCATGTTCCAGTAGGATAAAACGTGGCCTATAATCTACCCCTTACCTAAATTTCATCTCGATCCTGTCAGCTGTTTCGATGTGAAGGCGTAACAAACAAACATACAAAATTTTCGCATTTATAATAATACTAGCTTTTACCCACGGCTTCGCTCGCGTCACAAAAGGATAAAACGTAGCCCATGTGACATATACCAATACACACAGCGCCATCTATACCAATAATTTCGTTTTTCCCCGGGAATATCAAATTTTTCCAGGATAAAAAGTACCCTATGATTTAATCTGGACTTCTAACTTAACGTCTGCAAAAATTCAAAGCAATCGTTTTAGCAGATACGGTGTGAAGGCGGAACAAACAAACAAACTCACTTTCCAATTTATAATATAAGTAAGGATTAGTAGGATTTAGGTGCCGGCTAAGTTATTTTTTGTTTACCTTCTTTATTCACAACAACCGTAATAATTATCCTACGCTGTCTCAAATTCCTCAATTTCAAACCAGTCAGCATTCAATGAATCGAAACGATTTTAAAAAAAGGTCCGAGAAATAAAAATCACAGCAAAAGGAACTCCCCTATTTTCGGGCACGAGTACCTCTGTATTAGCAAGTAAGCAACAATGCGAGGTATTTGGGCCGGAGATAGGGGCACAGCTGTTCCCATTCTTGCAAAGGCCGACCGCTAGCTATGGCACGCGGATATCCATTGAAATTTTTCGTTTCAATTCCTCACAGTAGGTAAAGTTGGGAGTTTGATTGTAGCAACGAGTGACTGAATAAATAAGTTGGTTGACTTATATCTTTGGGTCTAGAAAATGTTATTGGGTGTTTAGATTTTCAAAGTGCTCAATATGAAGCAGTAACAGTAAAATGTACCTACAGCTTTTGTTCATCGAAATATGAATCTAATAATACTTTAACACTAGAAAGACGGGAGCAGTCATTTGACCGCAATTTGATTTTAAATGTTGAATAACTTGAAATCTATTTGAGTTTTTAAACTGAGACTTTGTGACTTTTATTTATTTTACTAGTTAAATGCAACTATGTATGAAAATAAATCATAACTCTTTTATTTATTATTTAAAATCTTGATCTACCGACAAAGACGGCGGCAGTCATTTGACTGCTGACAACCAATGAGTGTTTATAAGTGTAATAAGAGAGGGTAGAATACAAATTATATACACTAATTCATTGTTTATAGTCTGTTCATCAAATGACACCGTATCATTTCAAGTGTCTGTGAACTTTTACGAAATTATTGAAAGTAGTTTGTGGTCGCAACGTGTTGGAGTCTTGAAAATGAAAAAATGTTTGTTACTTCCAAAATATTTGTGAGGATGAGTCTGATTTTGACTCTAAAAATACAAAACATGATAGCGACGACGATTATGTGGTACTACTTGTCAGTTCAAATTCCTCTACGGACGGAAGTGACCTGAAAAACCAGATACTTCGACCAAATTTATCAGACGTTGACAGGTCGGGTTCTCGTGGTTGTAGTCGTTGCTGTGGTAGTGATAAAGGCTGTGAAAGGAGTTTGGAAGATCTTGAGCATCAAGGTCTTTTCACAACTATCGACTGTATTTCTTGTACACACCTCAAATGGCATCTACTCTAAGTGGTCAAATGTCGATGAATCCGTTGATACAGATGCGTCTTGTGAAACTTTTTGCAAATACTGGTCAAAATGTTACGAGCATCTCAAAGGTGAAATACATTTTTTTTTCATATTTGAGACCTAGCAAAGATATAACATAATTTAGATTATTTTCCTTTTTAGATATAATTCTTTCATTTGGTATAGGAAAATGTAGAATATTACATGAAACAAAGGCTATTTATACTAAGTTCAGGGGGCGAACTTAGAAGCAAAGTATAAATTGAAGAAGACTCTCTGAAACTGAATCCTTGCCTGAAGAGTGTAGATCTTTTACTTCACAATCTTCTGAACAAAATCCAGTAAATTCCAAAATATTATATACACAAATGCAAATACAAAACCCATAAAGAATGCGACAAATGCAAAAAGCCACTTTGCGGCTTTTGTAATATAAACAAAATGATAAAATTAGAAATTCTATACATATTACTTAATTAACAGTATATTATACCATGTTTAATACTATAGGTACCATTTCTAGCACTTAAACATAAAAAAAATATCAATAAACTTGGAGCAGTCATTTGACCGCTCGCCGTCTTTGTAGGTAGATGATTTTTTCCGTCTTTCTAGTGTTAAATCGTTTTCGTTTACTTTGTTCTCATCCTGCAGCAAAACAACTTACCATGGAGTACTTGCGATGTATTAAGTAAAAACAATACAATCATGAATCAATATGTACATTTTTTGAGATTAAAAAAAATTATGGAAGTACGTACATGAAACACTATTCGTATCGCACGTGGCATCCGACGAGGAATACATCAGAATTACGTGGCGTGATGTTCTGATAATGTACTATGAGTTCGTATGCACTTTCAAAGTGTGCTTATTTTTTACTGTCAAAAACGACAGTTTTCTACGAATTTTTTACGTATTGTGACGTCACGTTTATACAGGCGTCAAACAGCATAGTTATTGCTTAAAAATTTACTGGACAACCACCAAAATTAAGAGGTCATAAAATAAATTAATGACAGTGTGATTATTTTTTGTATATTTCATTGTATTGAAAAGCCGAAATAATTTATTTTGATTAACTAAAGTTCCCAATTTCATTAGTCTCTGTTCCGAATACTGAAGCTCCACTCAATTTTAAATTGCGCTTAAGTCTAGTTCTGTCACTACAAATTCTTTGTATAATGACAGAGATGGCACAGTGTTTAAGTACAACTTAAAATTTAGTAGCCTTTCAGTATTCGGGCGATTCTCAATCCAAAGTCTGTGGATTAAGGATTACCTATGATCGATTTTAACCGAAACTCCATAGAACGGAATGACAGTTTTTATTTTTATAGCATTTTGTACAAGGTCAACACCTTGTTTAAATCTTATTTTTTATACTATTATATACAGCAGAAGAGTTTGTTTTTTTTGTTTGTTTGTTTGAACGCGCTAATCTCCGTAACTACAAGTCTGATTTGAATAATTATTTTGGTTTTGGATAGCGCATTTATCGATAAATCATCACACTACGACCAATAGGAGCTGAGCAGAGCGTGTCAAACGTGAAAAAAATAAATATATACAACTTAATCTACACTAAAAGTAATAGAGAAAACTCAATATACAACTAATGTCAAAAGTAGATCGTTATCGACAGATTTTAGATTGGATTATTGAAATCGGCAGTTTATCTATAGGTGGAGAGGATGTTGAAACTGAATGCACGTGATAGATAGACAATGTGCAGTCGAAGCCATTGGTTATAGAAAGTCGTGATTAAAAATTTATTGAAGAGCGAAAGAAATCATTTGCTGATGGACTTTTTCGGTACAAATATGTTCATTAGAGAGTGTAGTGGAATACTATGAGAAAAATCTTACTAGAACAAGAGAAAACGTATACAATCTGAAATTGGAATCGCAATTTCTTCGCAAACAATAAACAGTCCATATGAAACATTAGCGTTCATGCCGAAGTAGTAAGGCTTGGTGACTAGGTACCATACTGTTGAAAAAAATATAAAAACAATGTCAAATGTTACCCAAGTTCATTCATTGCAATGAATACCTTTTTTGATAAAATCGAATGAATTACAATAAAGCGAAAAGAATAAAATTAAATACTCAACAACGATATCACTGCTATTTATAGCAGCTATAACCACTTCATTTTAAATACGGTAGCTGACACTAGACTAGCTAAATAGTCAATTTCAATACTTTTATCGAAACGTCCAAAAAAGATATTGTTCTATGAATTTTGTACGAAATACCATCTTATGACGTCATCTTATTTTCGCGTCAAATAGCACACCTATATCTAAAAAAATACTATTTAGAATAAATCAAAATTAAGAAGGTATATCGGCAAATCAATGGATGAAAATGTAACTATATTTCAATATTTCATTGGACTGAAAAATAAATATTTTTGACCCAGGAAACTACCCAATTATGGAACTAATAGTAATTGTAACATGAGAAGTAGAAATGGTCGAGAGACTCAGAGATAGTAGACATACAATTAGAAGGGATGACTATCATATGGCAAAGTGAGTGCTGAATCTAAAAGAAGATGAACCCAGAGAAAGAGAATGAAATGATGATTAAAGAAGAAAGACATGAAACAAAAAAGAGTTTCTGATGCATATAGTAAAATTAATGTCATGGTGGCCCGGAATGTTTAGACGCCCGCTTTTCCAGCATGAGGGTGCGGGTTCGACACTTACCAACTTAGCAAGCACAAATGTGACTTATTCCGAGTT